GTGCAGAGCTGGTGGGGAGGGGGGTCTGACGGGGCTGTGTGCCTGGAGTTCAGGCCGAGTGAGTTTTGGGGAAGGGTCACTGCTGTCGGGAGGAGGGATTGTCACTTGTCAGCACCCATCGCCCGCCGACTTTCTGCGCCGGTCTTTGCCGGGGAATTGAGCGTTTGAGATCGGCTCCCCTCCCGCCCCTCCGGCTGCAGCTCTTCTTCCCCCCCCCCCCCGCCCCACCCCCGCCCCCACAGCAGCCGCTAAGCCCTGCCGGGCAGCCGGGAGCACCCGAGGAGCGGACTTTGGGGACACTGGAACCGGCGGCGCGAGTTCCCGGGCGGCAGCGAACGGGGCGGGAGCCAGGGAGGCGGCACCGAGTGGCTTCAGACACACACAGCAGAGCGCGGCATGGCCGGGAGATCGAGTTTGCGCTGGCAGCTCCTGCTGCTCGGTGCTTTCCTCTCTCTGCCGGACCCGGCTCCCGCACAGACGCGCTACTCAGTGCCCGAGGACCTCGAGCCGGGCTCCTTTGTGGGGAACATTGCCAAGGATGTGGGTGTGGACGTGCGGAGCCTCTCGGCCCGTAGCCTGCGGCTGGTCAGCGAGGGCGGCCGTCAGCACTTCCAGGTGAACCTGGCCGATGGAGTCCTGCTTGTGAATGAGAAACTAGACCGGGAAGCTCTGTGTGGTCGCAGCTCCACGTGCTCTCTGCAGCTCCAGCTGGTGCTGGAGAGCCCGCTGCAGCTGCACCGGCTGGAGGTGGAGATCCTGGATGTCAACGACAACGCGCCGCAGTTCCCGAAGAAGGAAGTTTCTTTAGAGATCACCGAGGTAGCGAACCCAGGGACTCGCTTACCCCTGGAGGTAGCAGAAGACCCAGATATGGGCTCCAACTCCATCTCCACCTATGAACTCAGCGCCAGTGACCACTTTGCCCTGAGCATAAATGTAAGGGGAGATGGTGTGAAAATGCCTGAAATCGTATTGGAGAAAGCCCTGGACAGAGAGAAAGTGGCGGCCCATCAATTAACCCTAACAGCTCTCGATGGTGGGGACCCGGTGAGATCAGGCACTGCCAGGATCACAGTTCATGTCCTGGATGCCAACGACAACCCCCCTGTGTGTGATCCGCCGATTTCCAAAGTGTTTCTAGAAGAAAACGTCCCATCAGGGACGCTGGTTACACAGCTGAACGTCACTGACTCGGACGAAGGCCTGAATGGGCAGATTGAATATTCGTTCAAAACCAGCAATAAGGCCCCCGATACATTTCTCAGACTGTTCAACTTGGACCCCCAGACAGGGCAGATCACAACCAAAGCCCCTCTGGATTACGAGGACTCCAGTGCTTACGAGATCGCCGTTCGAGCCAGAGACAAGGGCTCCCCCGCAATGGAGGGGCACTGCAGCCTCCGGGTGGAACTGGTGGACGTGAACGATAACAGCCCGGACATTGTGCTGACCTCCCTGTCCAGCCCCGTGCAGGAAGATGCGCCCCCGGGGACTGTGATAGCGCTAATTGGCGCCAAGGACAGTGACTCCGGGGAAAATGGACATGTCCACCTGCAGATAAGCAATGATCTTCCCTTTAAATTGGTGAGCTCCTTCAAAGGGCATTACTCACTGGTCACTGCTGGGCCTCTGGATCGAGAGAAGGCTGCTGGATACAACATCACTGTTATGGCCACAGATGCCGGGTCCCCTCGAAGGTCCACCGAGCAAACCATCTTCCTCCAGATCTCTGATGTGAACGATAACGTGCCCAGGTTCTCCAGCCCCTCCTACACGGCCCACATTGAGGAGAACACCCTTCCTGGGGCCTCTGTGTTCTCTGTATGTGCCTCTGACCCTGATGTGGGCACCAACTCCAAGCTTTCCTACTCCATTCTGGACACCGGCATGCAGGATGTGCCCATCTCAACCTACTTCCACATCAACCCAGAGAACGGCACCATCTATGCCTTACGGGCTCTTGACTACGAGCAGGACAAAGTGTTCCAGGTGCTAGTGGAGGTGCAGGACGCTGGGTCCCCTGCCCTGAGCAGCACCACCATGCTCCACCTGTTCGTCCTGGATCAGAACGACAACGCGCCCACCATTGTGTACCCACCCGTCCCCAGGGGCTCCGCCTTCCAACAGACAGTCCCCTCCTCGGCAGAACCTGGCTATCTGGTCACCAAGATTGTGGCTGTGGATGCTGACAGCGGTCACAATGCCTGGCTCTCCTACCAGCTCCGGGAGACCAGTGAGCCATGTCCCTTCCGGGTGGAGCTCCACTCTGGAGAGATCCGAATAACTGAGGCACTTAGGGTGTCAGGAGCACCCCATAGGCTGGTGGTCCAGGTGAGGGACAATGGGATCCCCTCCCTGTCCGCCTCAGTGGCTCTAGTCATCTCTCCCGAGGAGAACACTGTTCAAGACTTTGCCAAGGCCTTGGACCTTCCCAAATCGACTTCCAGAGCATCCAGCGTCACTCTCTACCTCGTCATCTCCCTGGTAGCCATTTCGCTGGTGTCATGTGTGATGCTGGCTGTCCTAGGCACCAGGTGCCTCAAATCGGGCCGCGCAGCTGCAGGCTGGCCCCTCTCACGCTGTTGTAGGAGGACAGGCCACAAGTCCGCATTGAACTTCCCTGGGCAGTTGAATTCGGAAGGTTTCATCAAGTATCTGGATGTGGGTGGAGCTGGGCTGGTGTCCCAGGCACAACACTACAAGTCTTGTTTCTCTCCAATGTCTGATCAAGGGGATTTCCTCTTTGTAAAACCTTTCAGCCATTCCACTACCGGGGAGAGCATGGCTGCCTTTGATCAGGTGGCCAGTGCTTTAGTGAGTCCCTGCGACAGGGTAAGCTCTGTGTGTGTCCTGCTGTCCTTTCTGTTCAGAGTCACTGTTCATAAATATCCACTCTTCTCCTTCAGGCCTTTCAATACACTTTGGCCTCCTGGGGAAAGTGCATTACCTCTACCTGTCCAGCAAGAGATAGGGGGAAAAGTCGGGGCTTGGCGTAATGGAGGTAGGATGCCTGGGTGCGAATAGAATCCAACACATCAGGATCAGAGCCCTAAATTGAGAGTGACTGGCCCAGGTAGCTGCAGCTTCTCCTTAGACCATTCCTTGTTTACATACCCTAAGTTTTGTAAGTGACACATTGCATTGTTATATGCAGTGTTACTGTAGCTGTGTTGGTCCCAGGATTAGAAAGACAAGGTGGGTGAGGTCATATCTTTTATTGGACCAAATTATGTTGGTCAGAGAGACAAGCTTTCCAGCTTTTCTTCAGGTTAAATATGAAGTTTTTTGTATTTACCTCTTACTACTTTATTCCACCTATGAAGCCGGACTTGGAACTGAGTAGTTTGCTAAAACAAAGTTTATCTGTTTTGATCTTTTTGTATTTTGTAGGTGTGTGGCAGAAACTTTTCACTTGGTGATGTATTGTACTACACGCTGATCGCACCAGGATGACAACTGTGGCCAACATTTTCAAACTTGGAAACATAAATACGTAGCCCCAGTTTTAGAGGTGCTGGGCACCTGCAGCTCTCACTGAACTCAGTGAGATGGGAGGGTGCTCAGGACAGTTGAAAATAAGGCTATTTTTATGTAGATGCCTAGACATGAATATAAATGCCTGAATTTAGGCATCCAGGTTTGATCATTTTGGGTTCCAGCTCTAAAATTATTTTTGTCAGTAACTGTATGTCCTAAAATTGAAAGTGACAATTACGGTAACATTTCAGAAAATAAAGAGAGAAGACCTCATTTACAAAATGTGTGTGTATATATGTATTGTTGAGTGTGTGTAAATATTTTTAAAAATAGAAGTCAAAGATAGATACTTTTTAATTTGCATACATACAGCTTGGATGGCAATGGGACTCCTTTGTGGGGAAGTCAGTAGTTATTCTGAGGCTTTTCTTTACCATAATCATTAAAGTTATGAGTAAATTAGTAATATCACAACTTCTGCTAAATAAAAACTAGGTCAGCTGTATCTGTCTTCCATTTTCCTTAGTAACTGTATATACAAGCAGAATAATCCTGTTCTGCTTTATAAAGCCTAAACTGCTCATTCCCAAGATAACCCAGGAGACATCTTTAGAGCACTAAAGGAGGTACACTATTACTGCAGAGTTAATTAAGAAGATAGCTAGAAGTCTATGATTTTTGGAAGTACTTGTGTTTCAGACAGAAAACAGTTCTCCCTTTTAGCTCTCCTTACAAAGACTTAATACATAGAGCTGTTTCATGTATTTCTTTATTTACAAACTGCCCCTTGTCTGATAATGAATCAATGTGGGTGGAAAGTGATACAGGGCCCACTAATCAAGTTCCACAGTGGTCTGTTATGTCTATAGTCTGTTGGGTCTCCTAAACAAATAATACATTTTGTTGTGGGAAGTGAATTCTTTTCTACATAGACAGAAAAATACTGTCATGCACCAAGGACACAGTATCCAGGAAAAGATTAATTAAAATATAGAATGTGAAATCAAGACACTGTGCAAGCATTTTTAGAAAGGGAGAAAGGACAAATTAGGAAGTTCTGGTACCATTCCAGCTGCATTAAAACACACCTTTCTCAGTATCAATTAACTCTGCTTCTCCCTCAGCTCATTATTTCTGGTACTATAGAGTTCTTCCGATTAAACTGATGCCCTTATCAGTCTATAACATGCTTCAGTTCTTTCACAGCTTGGTTTCCTGAGCTTATTCTGGAAGATTATTCACTGAATTGTTTTGTCATGCTTTTTTAGCAATTGTCTTGATTCAGGAATATTCAAGAGGGAGGGGAATCTTCTTGTTTTGTGTCTTTGTTTGTTTGTTTTACATCAATGGAGAGATATATTTCTGGTTACTCCACTGAATTTTAAAATTATTCTCTTTTATCTACATTTTAGCTTCTCCTAAGCATGGATGTATTTCCAGGCTGCAATAATCCTGAATCAGTTTGCTTTGATTTCCAAAGGCAAGAATAGAGGCATTAAAATACTTTTCTGTTTCCCTTGCAGCAAGCTCAGCCTAACCCAGACTGGCGTTTCTCTCAGGCCCAGAGACCTGGAACCAGTGGGTGAGTGATTCACTTTCTGTTCCTCTGCACACATGCTGGCTTTTCTTATTTTTCTTGTTGATTTCATGATTTCAGCCTAGGAAGCAGGGCAAGCTTCCTCCACCCCCAGACTCATGTCCACTCCCCTGCACCCCGACCCTGCCTCTGCAGCTCAGGCTTGACCTGGAGGGGAACACTCCTGGCCAGAGAGGGGAGTTTAATCTTGTGGGCAATTTAGTCCCTGCCTTCTCTGCTGAAACACCGCAAAAGGGGTTGTATTAGTACCAATTCTGCTGATGTTCTTTGCAGCATCGTCTGTCTAGCTCCCTACAACTGGCTACTGGGAACTGGAATGAGGCCTTGTCTGCATACAAACTTGCACAGAACTAACTCAATGGGTTAGAATTAATACCTTTTGTTTCTCAGTGCAAGCCTGCACATGTGGACACTCCTATTTTGGAACAAGAGTACTGTAGTTTGCTTTTGCTTAAATCAGTAAAAAATGGCTCCAGTCAAATCAAAATCAGACACATTTATTCTAAAATAAAAGTGTTTACACAGAGACTTTCACTTGGTGGGTTAATTATTTCAGTGCAAGTTTGGAATCACTGAAAATGCCAATATATTTTACATTGGTGTCAAATTTTGATTACTGTGAGTCTGGGCTGGAATTAAACTTCTGACTTATAGGTGAAAGTCTCCATATCATGCTAGCAATCCCCTGAGTTTTCAACTCTCCCTAGCATGCTATTTGTTGTTGCTAGTAGTAGTAGGTAATAGTATTAATTTCAAAATTTGACATATGAGTCTCCCCAGGTGCTAGCAAATAGGACAGGTACTAGGTGCTACCACAATGCAAATAATAATGATTTTAAATTCTCACATGATCTGAAATATGAAAGAGGCAAGTCATGGGCGAATAGGAGTGTGCAGTGAGGGCTGCTTTCTGGGAACAGAGCCAGGTGGGATCATTCATGGAAACATGCTATAGAGTCAGCCCTGTCACTAAGTAATTTGGCTCAGAATTTATGAGATTAATCTGGTTAGTCAGAATTAATCAGGAGACTAGCTTGGTTAATTTAATATGATTTATTTTTGGATTTATTAAAATGCATCCATCATAATCTCTAGGCACATGTAAATTAATATAAAACACCAACTAACTGCAAACACAATTTATATTTAAAAAAAATCAAATCAAGCTCCCACTTCCCCATCCCAAATATCTTGGATTGGAAATTATAATGTTTAAATATTCAAAATAAAATTTATAATCAGACCGACAATCTAGGAGTAACACAAGATGCTATGTAGGAAAGTGACAATGAGATTTCAGGTGGTTGCTTTGCTTCTGGGCCAGTAAAGCCAATGACACAGTGGATGCAGCACTCTGCCCTTGGAAAATGGAAGAGACTCTAGTCATCCTGTACTTGTGACCCTACTTGCTGATTCTGCAAAAGTCACCAAGGTGTAGAGCAGGGCTTTGGAGCAGAGCCCAGAGCTGGAGCGCGGAGCAGCTCTGGAGCAGTGGAGCTGCAGGTTTTTGCCTGGAGCTGGAGCGGAGCCGGAGCACAGCTCCAAAGCCCTGGTGTAGAGATACCAATATTATCCCCTGCACATTCACACACTTGCCCAACGGGTCAGCTCCTGGCATGGCCTACAGGAACTATTCTTTAGAGGGAGCTTTGATTTGCTTCTGCTTGTTCTTCTGGGCCTGAGTTCAGCAAAGCATTAGGGTTTAAGCACATGTTTAAGTGTTTGCCAAATTGGGCCCCTACTCATAGACTAGGAGTAAGCCTAATGAGTGTTGTACAGATTACTGCTCCTGTTCAGTCATTGACCTAGCAATGTTACAATTGCCTCCTCGAACCCTGGGCTGTCAACCCCATGCCACATGGTGGGGAGAAAGAAATAGAACTTTGCAATGGGACCACACTTGCTTTTAGCCCTGGAACTGACTGAGATTGACTGAGTCTATAGAAAAGCTATTGGGGTTATTTTAGAGGCATTTTCTATTATTAGTTATGTTTTATTCTCTCCCTCTGAACTCTGTGTAGTTGGATTCCTGGTACTAAGCTTTGCAGACTTTGGCTTTGCAGACAGAAGAATTTTTTTTTTAAAAGTCCCAAAAGAACCTTTTTAATACTCTCAGAAACATTATTAGCTGTACCATTTTCTATAAAATATGTGGCATTTACAGAGTGCATGAAGGTGTGGTGTGGCACAAGGGTGTTCCTGGCACTTATGTGACCTGCATAACTCACTTGTGAATTCATTGCTCCTCAGTAAAAAGGAAACTCTACATTCATGCCAATAAAAACTTGATACCACTCCACACCATCAGCTATGTGAATATGATATGTATGTGGGTGGGATTTGCAAGACCATGCACGTGCACTCTCTCGCTCTCTCTCATACACACATACACACATTTTCAAAAACAGAAAAAAAGTTTGTTGATTGCTGGCTAATGTAACCAGAATAAAAACTCTATAGCAAGAACTCTGCAACTAATTAAATCATAAGTGTTAAAAAGTCTGCAAATATTCCGTTAAGGTGACGTAGCTATAGATGCCAACAGCTTTGCCTTTCATCCATTCTCTTTGTAAAAATCAAAATGTGTAAAAATTCACATTACACACACCAATAACAGCTTCAGGCTACATTTACTCCTGCTCCACTGCGGGCAACTGCACACCAAGGGGATTCTTTCTGAGGAAGGGTAGGTGGTTGTACTTTTGGGACAGAGAGGACAGAGTTCCAGACTGAGCTTCATAGTCAGTGGCAACTGTTCAGGAGTCCCTGCTCCCTGAGATTGCCCTACCCCTGCTTGCCTGTTACAATGAAGTGTAGATTATCAATGTAATAAAAATAATGAATAACCCATGTGGCATATGTCAGTTAAAGTATACAGAGAACAGAATTTTGACCATTACATTGTAGAAGATGTGCTTTAAAGATATATCTTAGTTATGCAGCAATATGAGAAACAAAACAGCATAGTTTGGGTAATGTGTAAATAATTTGATCATTAAAATATTTTACATTTATTGGTGATGGTTTCTGGTGAAAGTACCGAGGACCTGGAGCTCTACGTCCAGCTCCCAGTGTCTCTGAACTAGAGGGCAAAGGTCAGAGAGGGTGACACATACAGATCAAGATCCACTCAATGTGCAGCGGCAGTCAAAAAAGCGAACAGAATATTGGGAATCATTAAGAAAGAGACAGATAATAAGACAGAAAATGTCATATTGCCTCTATATAAATCCATGGTACGCCCACATCTTGAATACTGTGTGCAGATGTGGTTGCCCCCGCTCAAAAAAGATATATTGGAATTGGAAAAGGTTCAGAGAAGGGCAACTAAAATGATTAGGGGTATGGAAAGGCTTCCGTATGAAGAAAGATTAATAAGACTGGGACTTTTCAGCTTGGAAAAGAGACAACTAAGGGGGGATATGATAGAAGTTTATAAAATCATGACTGGTGTGGAGAAAGTAAATCAGGAAGTGTTATTTACTCCTTCTCATAACACAAGAACTAGGGGTCACCAAATGAAATTAATAGGCAGCAGATTTAAAACAAACAAAAGGATGTATTTTTTCATACAATGCACAGTCAGTCTGTGGAATTCCTTGCCAGAGGATGTTCTGAAGGCCAAGACTATAACAGGGTTAAAAAATGAACTAGATAAGTTCATGGAGGATAGGTTCATCAATGGCTGTTAGCTGGGATGGGCAGGGATGGTGTCCCTAGCCTCTGTTTGCCAGAAGCTGTGAGATGGAACACTTGATGTTCTATTCATTCCCTCTGGGGCACCTGGCATTGGCCACTGTCAGAAGACAGGATATTGAGCTAGATGGGCCTTTTGTCTGACCCAGTATGGCCACTCTTACGCTATGTTCTAACATACAAACTTCTCACCTTCAGCCCTTCTCTTATAGTTGGAGCTGAACCATCACACCTGATTGTAAGTCTTGAAAACTGGGGAAGATTTAGATCCAGATCTCAACCCCAACTGTTCATTTGGAGTGAAAATATTTTAAGTCTTTTAAAACAGTCTTTGTAAACTTATATGAGACATTCAGTGATATAATCTGCCTCAGAATTAAAGTTCTTAGCAGAATGTCTAATGTGAATTTTCACCCATCTAGGCTTCTTAAGTGAATTATGAATTATACGACTTTCATAATCTTTGGGCCCAATTCACTAATGCTGTCTGCTTTGCACCACTCTAGTTATGCAAAACACCTAAGTAGCTAGCCTAACTGATCCCAGATGGCTCTTACACTACTCATAACATAAAGCAGCTTTCAGATTGCTCTTATTCATGTCAGGAATCAGGCCAGCCCAAAGAACAGGAGAATGTAAAAGTGACTTACAGTCTCTTTTGTCCTTTGCCATGGCCATTTCTGCTACTTGTGTATGCACATTAGCATACAAATACGCGCATCCTTTGCACATGTAATTGAATATCTGAAAATCTATTAAATGTTGTTTAATGTTTGGAAGCAACTGTAATCAGAGTGAAGTACATGCCTGTGCTCTCCCACCATCATTACCATCTAGTGCTGCATAATGCAGATTGTGGCGTTAGTATCCAGTGTAAGGATGCCCATGGGCACAGTAATAATAATAACTAATAATAAATGTACTGGACTTTTCCTAGGACAGTCACAATGAGGTTTTGGACCTGGTTAAACCTAAAGGGGCTGCTTATCCTAGGGCAAATGTTACAGCTTTATCATGTGTCTGAGAGACTGAGACAGGGACATAATGGTTTTTTTTTTAATATTGTCTCCTCCGTTTCCTAGCAAAGTGTCCATGTGGCCATTTTCTGGACAATGGCCACCCCTCCATTGTCTTCTACCCTCATCCCAGCCATTGTGTAGTTTGCTTGTTACACAAGAAAGATGTTATGAAGGAATAACATGGGCACAGCGGGTCCAGATAACTGTGTTTATTAACTACAGATAACATGTGAGGCCTAGTTTCAGATACTGCTGCTCTGGCAGGGTTCT